AGTCTGCTCTTTCCAACTTCTTCTGCCTGCTTTTTATTCTGGCTGCACTGGCAGCTGATTAGATGGTGCCCACACAGATTGAGGGTGGGTCTGCCTCTCCCAGTTCACTGACTCAAATGTTAATCTCTTTTGGCAACACCCTCACAGACACACCCAGGATCAACACTTTGCATCCTTCGAGCTGATCAAGTTGACACTCAATATTAACCATCACGCCACTCAGTAGTATATGAGCTTCCCTAAGTGTTTCTATAACCATGTTATTATGAAAAACAAAAAACAGGGTTGCAAAAGTCCATCAATGATAGACTGGATAAAGAAAATATGGTACATATACACCATGGAGTACTACGCAGCCATAAAAAAGAACAAGATCATGTCCTTTGCAGGGACATGGATGGAGCTGGAGGTCATTATCCTTAGCAAACTAATGCAGGAACAGAAAACCAAATATTGCGTGTTCTAAGTGGGAGCTAAATGATGATAACACATGGACACACAGAGGCGAACAACACGCACTGGGGCCTTCTGGAGGGTGGGAGGAGAGATAGGATCAAGAAAAATAACTAATGGGTACTAGGCTTAATAACTGGGTGATGAAATAACCTGTACAACAAACCCCCGCGATACAAGTTTACCCATGTAACAGATCTGCACTTGTACCCCTAAACTTAAAATAAAAGTAAAACAAAAAAAACACTACACAGGGATTTTTTAAGGCTCCTTCCTGTCAGCAAGGTCAAGCCAGCCCCAGCCAGCAGAAGCCAGGCCCCAGGGAGCCTGAATTGGCACAACCACTTTGCAGAGTAATTTGGCAATACCTACTGGGGCTGAGGATGCACACAGTATACAACTCAGCAGTTCCACTCCTGGGCATGTGCCCTAGAGAAACTCACTCGGGAGAAAGCAGGGACACTTTGCTCCAAACTAGCCCAAAGCGGGAAACAATCCAAATAGATAAATACACGGCAGCATACTCCCACCACAGAATACTACACAGTCGTGAAAATGGATGCATGAAAACTATTCTTGTTAATCAGATTTATCTCACGTCAAACACAAAAGTCAGGTTAGAGAAATGTGAAGTTTGAAAAACAGTACCATGTATTTCTTTTTTTTTCTTTCTCTTCTTTTTAAAATTTTTATTTCTTTATTTTTTGAGATAAGGTCTTACTCTGTCACCCAGGCTGCAGTGTAGTGGTGCAATCACAGCTCACTGCAGCCTTGACCTCCTGGGCTCAGGTGATCCTCCCACCTCAGCCTTCTGAGTAGCTGGGACTACAGGCATGTACCATCATGCATGCTTGTTTTTGCATTTTTTGTATACGTGGGGTTTCACCATGTTGCCCAGGCTGGTCTTAAACTCCTGGACTCAAGCAGTCTTCCCGCCTTGGCCTCTCAAAGTGCTAGGATTACAAGTGTGAGCCACCACACTTGGCCTTTATTTCAAACAAAAACAAAACATTATTTGTTAGGGACAGGGTCTTGCTCTGTTGCCCAAGCTGGAGTACAGTCATAGCTCACTACAATGACAACCTTCTGGGCTCAAGTGATCCTCCCACCTTGGCCTCCTGAGTAGCTGGGACTACAGGAGGACACCACCATGCCCAGCTGATTATCTTATTACATTTTATTTCATTTTGTAGAGACGGGGTTTCACTACATTGGCCAGGCTGGTCTCAAACTTCTGGCCTCAAGTAATCCTTCCATCTTTGCCTCCAAAATTGCTAGGATTACAGGTGTGAGCCACCATTCCCAGCCCACATTATTTCTTATCTACGTATGTAGTCAAAGGGTAAACTATTCTCACTCTGATGCTATTTAAAAAACATTTTTAAGTGTAAAAATAGGTAGCATCTATTTATTATATACTTAGGCAGCCAAAGTGTAAATACATAAATGGAAATAATAAACATAAAATTCAGAAAAGTGCCCCAGATGGGGGAGAGAAAGGAATGGGTCTAGGGAGGGAGAAAACAGGGATTAGAAAGGTTAGAAAGGTTTCATTTTGCTGGGTACAGTGGCTTATGCCTGTAATCCCAGCATTTTGGGAGGCTGAGCCAGGTGGATCACTTGAGGTCAGGAGTTCCAGACCAGCCTGGCCAACATGGTGTAAACCCGTCTCTACTAAAAGTACAAAAATTAGCTAGGTGTTGTGGTACACGCCTGTAATTCAGGCTACTTGGGAGGCTGAGGCAGGAGAATCACTTGAACCTGGGAGGCAGAGGCTACAGTGAGCCGAGATCACACCACTGCACTCCAGCCTGGGAGACAGAGGGAGACTCTGTCAAAAAAAAAAAAAAAAGAGGAAGGTTTTGTTTTGATGGCAGGTTACTCCATTACTTCTTTATCCTCAGTTCTCCCCATTCTTCTGGTCACCTTCTCTAGCCACATGAGCCTTCTTACTGTTGACCAAACACATCAGATACAGTCCAGCCTCAGAGCCTTTGCATTGGCTGTTCCCTCTGCCTGACACTCTGTTCCAGCTCTCCTCATGGCTCATTCACTCACCTCCCCTTAGGTTTTCATTCAGATGTCACATTCCCAGTGAAGCCTTCCCTGGCTTCCAGCACCCCTCACCCCTGCCTGCCACACATCCCATCCCTCTCCTGCTTTATTTTTCCTCTGTACCCCTCACCGCCATCTGACACACTTGATTCATCCATCAATTGTGTCCATCCCCATCAGCAGACTCTCAGCACCATGAGAACAGGGGATTTTTCTATTTTGTTTACTGCTGTGTCCCAGAGCCTAGAACAGGACCTGGCACATAGAAGTGTTCAATAAATAGTCATTGAATAAATGAATGTATACACAGGTGTTTGCTCTATTATTCTCCACTTATTTTTGCATGGGATCTTGCTAGCTTGCCCAAGCTGGTCTCAAACTAGTTAGGCTCAAGCAATCTTCCCTCTTCAGCCTCCTGAGTAATTGGCGTTACAGGCATGTGCCACTGTACCCAGCTTTACACACTTTTAATTTTTATTTTGTGGAGATGTGGTCTTGCTATGTTGCCCAGGCTGGTCTCAAACTCCTGGGCTGAAGCAATCCTGCCACCTTGGCCTCCCAATGTGCTGGGATACAGGCATGAGCCACCCTGCCCAGCTTTACATTTTGTAAACAACAAAAAGGTTAGCCACTAGGCTGTTTCCACGTGAGCTTCCTAGTAGGGTAAGAGAAAAGTGCCCAGCACCATAATATGTCCTTGGAACCCACCAAGGTCCCAAGTCACTGAACTGTGAGCACAACCAACAAAGATCCCTGTGTGACCACCAAGCCCATGAGAGCTAGCCCAGAGTCCTTACAACAGACCACTGACATCTGAAGGCCTCTACAGAAACAGCCCAAGAGGCCACAGCTCCTTTTGTGAGAGGCAACATTGCTCTGAAACAAATCTGCATTCTGAGAGTCCAGCCAGCACAGCGTGGGTGCTGCAACCCATCACATCCACCAAGAGAGACAGAACATGGAGCAGCAACAAAACATGGAGAGCTACGATCCTGTAAATGATTACTATGAAAAAGGTGTCCCAGTGAGGAAGGATCTTAGAATAGAAGAGCCCAGACTTAGCTCAGAGGAGAGCAGAGAGTGGGAAGAGGAGGAACCAGCCACTGGTAACAGATAGTAATGTCCCTACTGGAATCTAATAAAAGTCTTTAAGGTCCCTGACAGACTAGTGGGTCATTCTCCAAATCCATTTCCCTTTTCTTCTAAGCACAATCTGATACTTCCCAGCTTCCCTTGCAGTGATGTGTGGTCATGTGACCCAGTTCTAGCCAACAGGATATGAATGGAACAGGTATGGGTCACACCCCTTCCGAACTCATAAACCTTCCCAAGTATCACCTTCTATGCTCATTTCTCCTTCCTGGTTTGATACAGACAAGCATGGAGTTATTGGATGCTGTGGGCTGACAATGAAGATCCACAATATGGCAAGGGTTAGGGTCCGTCAGTCATTGGAGCAGATGAACTTGCCAACTAGGAACAATTATTTTGGAATTTTTTTTTGAGATGGGGTCTTGCTCTGTTCCCCAGGCTAGAGTGTGGTGGTATGATCATAGCTCATTGCTCCCTCCAACTCCTGGGCTCAAGCAATTCTCCCAGGCATGTACCACCATGCCTGGCTAATTTTTTTTAATTTTATGTTTTAGTGACGGTGGGGGGGGGTCTCACTATGTTGCCCAGGCTGAACTCCTGAGCTCAAGGGATCCTCCCATCTCAGCCTCCCAAAGTGCTGAGATTACAGGCATGCACCACCACACCCAGCTCACTTTTGAATTTTCTATGAGTGACAAATAAACTTCTGCTGTGTTTAAGTCATTATCTTTTGTTATACCAGCAAGTGCTACCTCATACAGGGTGCTTCAAGGAAAGCATACACACATTTCAACCACGGTTCATCATATACGGATCTGAAAACTCCTTGAAGACACTGACTGTACCTTATTTAGCTTGCGTTTCTCCTTTGTCATAATCACAATCCCTTGCACCCAGACGTTCTCAAAACACACTCACCAAGTTGAAATAAAAGCAAGATATCCTCAAGGAAATCAAGAGACCCATGCACGTACAACACTTAAAACCTTGAGTTCTGGAATGCATAATCTTCTGTTCATATCCCAGTTTCATCACTTACTTGCTTGGTGGCCTTAAGCAAGTTACGCTCTGAGTTTCCGATTCCTCAGTGGTCAGATGGGAATATTAATATTTCCTAATTCAGTGGGTTGTTGCAAGGATTAAATTAGAGAATGCACATAAAGCACTCTGGAAGCAGCCAACGATAATGAGCTATTATTTTAATTGTAACAGAAAGCATCTGCTGTAATATACAGCTGAGATATGGATGTGGGGTGTTGGCAGAAAGGAGGCAGGTGCATAATGAGGGGAGGGAGAACACAAGGGCTCAGCCTTTCTGAGCCCAGCGCAAACCACACCAACCAAAAGCCTTGTAATCCTTCAGCTAGTTAAATCCAAAGAGTATAGCACGTGCCACTTACCCCGTTAGCACCACCACAAAGTCCATGACGTTCCAGCCATTCCTCAAGTAGGAGCCTTTGTGGAAGGCAAATCCAAGGGCAATGATTTTAATTCCAGCCTCGAAACAAAAAATTCCAATGAAGTATGGTTCTGTGTCATCCTGGAAGGGAGAGAACGCAAGGTCAGCATCTTGGGCTGGGCAGATGTTGGCAAGACCAGGGAACCAGCCCACCTAGAAATCAGTATCCACCCCCCTCTCACTTCCCTCGACCCTCCTGCACTCACCACCCCTCACTGCCTCTTGCAGAGTTCTCTTGTCCAGAGCCTTTTGCAAGCAAAGCCAATGCTCAGAGAAGGCAACTTCCTCCTTCATTCCTTTTGGGCCAACGTGACATATCACTTGGCCAAACAGAATTGCTTGTTTGCACCTGCTTTATTCAATACGACAGTCACAGGCCACATGTGGTGATTTCAATTAAAATTAATTTAAATGTAATAAAATTTAAAAACGCAATTCTGCAGTCACACTGGCTACATTTCAAGTGACGATCCTACTGGACAGGGCAGATGGAGATCATTTCTGTGACTGCAGAAAGTTCTAATGGAAAGCATTGGTTTAGAGGATTTACTTGTCACACGCAGCGTTCAAGGCATTTGAGGCCGGAGCTTGGGCATTGACCTCACTCCTAAATCTGACCCCTTAGGATGGTTCTCAGCTGGTAGACTGTTAAAGGTTTGGAATAGGAGTTCTGTACTGGCTGATAAGTGGCCAGTATCCTCACCTCCAGTTCCTCTGCAGAACCTCCAGCTGCTTCTGGCTTCCAGCTGATAATCTATCATATTTGAAATTAAGCTATAAGCTCTTCTCCATCAGAGCCCCTATGTGAATGTCTTCCCATCTGTTACAACAATATTTCTCAAGCTTCAATCATTTCATTCTGCCTGAATGATTTTTTTTCCATATCAGCTTGCCACTGGTACTTCTATTTGCTTACCAGTCTTTCAATGGACTCTTTTTATTTAGCATTATTTTAAGTGAAAATGTAAAGGTCTAGACATCATAGGTTTGCTAGGTTAGTTATAGTTTTTAGAAGACAGTGACCTTGTGAAATGTATGTTTGGTCTTTGACATTGTTTCCTGGCGTACAACTCCTAAAATTCTTGGGATCTCCAAAGGGATGTCTTTTTGTAGGCTAAGGATTGACCAACGGCTGGCAGCTTCTAGGAAGCTTCAGGATGGGGGCTGGTCACCGGGAAAACCAAGGCATGATTAGAGGGTTGGATTTAAATCATTGACCATTGGTGATCAACTTGATTTTCAGCATCTCTGCCCTTCCAGAGATTGGGGGGTGGGGCTGAAATTCCTAACCCTCGAATCATGCCTTGGTCTTTCTGGTGACCAGCCCCCTCCTGAAGCTACCTGGAAACTGCCAGCCACACCCTTCTCCTGTATCTCAGCCTATGCATTGCTTCATCTATATCCTTTGTAATATTCTTTTTTCTTTCTTTCTTTTTTTTTTTTTCCCCGAGACACAGTTTCACTCCTGTTGCCCAGACTGGAGTGCAATGATGTGATCTTGGCTCACTGTAACCTCCGCCTCCCACGTTCAAGCGATTCTCCTGCCTCAGCCTCCCAAGTAGCTGGGATGACAGGTGTGCGCCACGATATCCAGCTAATTCTGTATTTTTTTTTTAGTAGAGACGGGCTCTTACCATGTTGGTCAGGCTGGTCTCGAACTCCTGACCTCAAGTGATCTACCTGTCTTGGCCTCCCAAAGTACTGGGATTACAGGCATGAGCTATCGTGCCTGGTCAAGACATAATTATTAACATTAATAATGTTCATTGGAGTATACTGCCTGAAATTATGTCATATGCCAAAGTAGGCAGTTTGAGACCAGCCTAAGCAACCTAGTGAGACCCCCATCTCTACAAAAAAGACAAAAATAAGAAAATTAGCTGGACATGGTGGCACCTGTAGTCCCTGTTACTCAGAAGGCTGCAGTGGGAGGATGGCTTGAGCCCAGGAGGTGGAGGCTGCAGTGAGCTATGATTAAACCACTGCACTTCAGCCTGGGTGACAGAGCGAGATTCTGTTTCAAGAAAAAAAAAAAAAAGAAACTTAGGTTTCCCATGATCTGGCTCTGGGCTCCAGGACTGTGAGCCTCCTGTGTGCCCTGCGCCACTCCCCCAAAAATCAAAGTCCTGCTAAAGCCAAGGAGAAGCCCCCGAGAAAAGACACCACTCACCAGCCGTTCAGACATCGGGGTCTTGTCATCATCAGGCAGATGCTGCTCCAGTGCGAGGACGATGCAATTCGCTATGATGGTGGCTAAAATCATATATTCAAAGGGAGTATTGGGGAATTAAGGAAAAATCTTGTTTAAAGAAAAGAAGGGTGTTTGGAGGGGCACCCACGCCCAGTGACCCCAATAGAAAGATCTCAAGCCCTCCAGATCCTCCCAACTCATCAGTACAGGTGGAATTATTCGTTCTCCTCTCTGGAGTAGATCCCTGCAGATCTCAAACCCAGAGCAGGTGACTTCTAAAGGGAAATGCGGATATTCACCTTCTATCTCACCAGCAATATTCATTGAACACATACTCATTCAGTACCTGCTATGTGCCAGACTCTGTTCTGGGCTAGGGACACAGCTGAGAGCAGAGCAGACAAGAGGAGAAGCTTCCTCCTGCTTCCTAGAGGAGGAGCAAATAATTGAGATAACTACATCATGTATACTACGTTATACAGTACACTGCACGTACCATGTTATATAGTACATCATATATTCTACGTTATGTGGTAAGATGGTGAAGGCTATAGACAGTGGAAAGGGTCAGGGCTGCAATTTCAAATATAGTGGCAGAGCCCAGCATGATGGCCGGCACCTGTGGTCCCAGCTACTTGGGACGCTGAAGCGAGAGAATCGTTTCAGCCGAGGAGGTGGAGGCTATAGCTAGCAATGACTGTATCGCCGCACACCAGCCTGGGTGGCAGAAAGAGGCTCTGTCTCAAAAAAAAAGAGATAAATTAAAAATAGATAAATATAGGCCAAGGTGGGTGGATCACTTGAGATCAAGACTTCGAGACCAGCCTGGCCAATATGGTGAAACCCTGTCTCTATCAAAAATACAAAAATTAGCCAGGCATGGTGGCACACACCTGTAGTCCCAGCTACTTGGGAGGCCAGGGCAGGAGAATCACTTGAACATGGGAGGTGGAGGTTGCAGTGAGCCGAGATCAAGCCACTGCAGTCCAGCCTGGGCAACAGAGAAAGATTCCATCTCAAAAATAAATAAAATAATAAATAAGTAAATAAATAAATAAATAAAACATTGTGATCAGATTTGACACCTAACACATGAGCCACAGAAGAAAAAACAGACACACTGGGCTTCATCAAAATTTAAACCTTTCGTGCATCAGAGGACACTATCAAGAAAGTTAAAAGACAAGTAACAGAATGGGAGAAGCTATTTGCAAATCATGTATCTGATAAGGGTCTAGTACCAGGAATATATAAAGAACATTTACAACAACAAGAAGATAACCCAACTGAAAAATGGACAGGAGGCTGGAATAGATATTTCTCCAAAGAAGACAGTCAAATGGCCAATAAGTACATGAAGGTATTAGTGATCAGGGAAGTGCAAATCAAACCCCAATGGGATACAGCTTCACTCCCACAAGGATAGCTAAAATTAAAAACAAACAGAAAACAAGTGTTGGTGAAGATGTGAAGAAACTGAAACCCTCGTGCTGGTGGGAATATAAAATGGTGTAGCTGGCCAGGTGCTGTGGCTCACGCCTGTAATCCCAGCACTTTGGGAGGCTGAGGTAGGAGGATTACTTGAGCACAGGAGTCTGAGACCAGCCTAGGCAATAAAGTGAGACTCTATCTCTACAAAAAATATAAAACATTAGCCGGGCATGGTGGCGCAGGCCTGTAGTGCCAGCTACTTGGGAGGCTGAGGAGAGAGGATTGCTTGAGCCCCAGGAGGTTGAGGCTGCAGTGAACCGTGACTGCACCACTGCACTCCAGCCTGGGCAATGGGAGTGAGTTCCTGTCTCAAAACAACAACAACAACAAAAACAACAACAACAACAAAACAACACCGGTGCAACTGCCATAGAAAACCATTTGTTGATTCCTCAAAACGTTAAACACAGAGTTACCACATGACACAGTAACTCCGCTTCAAGGTATAAACAGGAAAGGATGGTAAGACAGGTACTCCAACAAACACTCATACACAAATGTTCACAGCAGCACTATTCACAATAGCCGAAAGACGGAAACAACCTAAATTTCATCAATGGATGAATGGATAAACAAATGTGGTCTACCCATAGAAGTGAATAGTATTCAGCCAGAAAAAGGAATGAAGTAGGCCGGGCATGGTGGCTCATGCCTGTAATCCCAGTACTTTGGGAGGCCAAGGCAGGCAGATCACCTGAGGATGGGAGTTCAAGACCAGCCTGACCAACATGGGGAAACCCCGTCTCTACTGAAAAAAATACAAAATTAGCTGAGTGTGGTGGCGCATGCCTGTAATCCTAGCTACTCAGCAGGCTGAGGCAGGAGGATCGCTTGAACTCGGGAGGCGGAGGTTGTGGTGAGCCGAGATTGTGCCATTGCATTCTGGCCTGGACAACAAAAGCAAAACTCTGTCTCAAAGAAAAAAAAAAAGACAGAAAGAAAAAAAAGGAATGAAATACCGATACATATTAGAGCAGGAATGAACCTCGAAAACATTACGCCAAGCGAAAGAAGCAGGCATAAAATACCCCATATTGTATGATTCCATGTATATAAAATGTCCCAAATAGGCACATCCAGAGGCAGACAGCAGATTTGTTGTTCCTGGGGAATGGGAAGGGAAATGGGAGTGACTGCTTAATGTTTTTGAACTAGATGAAGGTGATAGTTACACAACATTGTGAATGTACCAAATGCCTCTCCCTCCCCTCTCCTTTCTTTTTTTGTTTATTTTTATTTTTTTAAAGAAACATGATTTTGCTCTGTCACCCAGTCTGGGGTACAGTGGCATGATCATAGCTCACTGCAGCCTTGAATTCCTAGGCTCAAACAATCCTCTTGCCTCAGCCTCCTGAGTAGCTGGGACTATAGGTGCACGCCACTGTGTATACCTAATTTTTTTTTTTTTTTTTTAAGAGACGGAGTCTTACTTTGTTGCCCAGGGTGGTCTTGAACTCCTGGGCAACCTTCCTTCCTCAGCCTCCCAAAGTGCTGGGATTACAGGCATGAGTCACTGTGCCCAGCTCTAAATGCCACTTTAAAATGGTTAATTGTATTATATTAATTTTACCTCAATTAAAAAAAAATTACAGTAATCAGGGCAGACCTCTGAGAATCTGCTCTTCCAAGACCCGAGGCAGGGGAGGGGTCGTCCATGTCCATATCTCTGTGTCCCATTTGGATTCTCTCCAGTTTGCACAGGTAAACTCCTCCTCCATGCATCCTGGGAACTGTCATCTGGGTCGAGGAGGCCTCCCTCCCTAGTGTCCCACCAGAGGATCTGCAGGGCAGGTAGGGAGGGTCTATCCTGTTCATTTCATATTAGCTCCTGACCTGCTGATCAGCCGGTGAATGGGAATATCCACTGTGCCCCTGCCACACCCCTCAGAAGTGCGCCACTCCAACAGGCGTATGGATCTGGCAATCTCTGAGAAGGAGGTATAGGCATTGGAGAAGGGGCTGCTTGAGTGGAAAAGCCATAGGGTGTTGGTTACTCTGGAGCAGGTTTTCCCAACCTCAGCACTAGGTTTAGGGGTGGATCGTTCTCCTTGGTGGGGCTGTCTGGGCACTGCAGTACGTTCAACAGTATCCCTGGCCTCTGTGGGCTAGATGCCAGTAGCATCCCCTCTTGTCCAGTGATGACAACCTCAAGTGGTCTCTAAACATGGCTGAGTGTCCCCTGGGGGCACTGAAATCCCGTGTTCCGTAGGGAGATCAATTCGTGCATCTTGGGGAACTTGACCATGCTAAACCTCTCCCCTCCTCCTAGCTCTATCCTTTGGAAAATTAATTGGTTTCAGTCTCCTCTTCTGCCCTGGAGTTAGGTTTAGCATTTTGGAAGCACCACACAACCATCCCTTCCAGGCCGGAGGGAGAGTGGAACCCGCTTTCCAGGTGGGAAAACGGAGTGTGAAACAGAAACCCCCTCCGTAAAACTCTCGGAAAGCCAGGAAAACCAGGCTTCCTTTTGTCACCAGCTTCAGCTTCTGCCTCCAGCTGAAAGCAGCTGAAGGCGAGCTCCACGCACACTCTGAAAAGCAAAATCTGAGACTCAGGGCAATTTGGGGAGCCAACAAAAGCTGGCCTTGCCGAAGATCATCTCTGATTGGCTTTCTGCCTCCGAGCTGACAGGCATTAGGAGCCCAGAGAACAAAGCTGGGCTGTGTTGCACAAATACTCCACTCTGCCTCACCCTGCAGCCCGGAAAATAAGAGACAATATTTGTACACAGAGCAGCAACGCCAAGCCCTTCCCTGGTCTCCTCTCACTATGATTTGAAGCTGACTTCGCTTCCTCTCCCTGCCAACTCAGTCTCCTTACACGCGTTTCTACCATCCCACTCCTCTGGTTCCCTGGCCTCCTGCCCCTCAATGGCAGGGATGTGACTTCCTTTGGATCGGCTCTGGCACTAAAGGTTCCAGGAAGAGTCCCAGAAGGCCGCCATGCAGCATGCAGCACTTTCATGGGCTGCAATATCAGGGTTTCAACCAGCCAGTGTCGCCTGGATTTCAGACCCATGGCGCTCTGGGTATGGCGATGAAACCTTAGCACACAGGCAAAAAGAAAAGAGGTTCTTATCTCCCACCTTGCTTCATTTTCTTACTTCTTGTAAAACACAGATACTCACACTGCTTCTCCAACATCATCCCCTCTCCCTCTGCTCACCCACACACCAGCAAGTGTCCACAGACATGCCCCAGATGGACATCTGCAACCAAGACCTTAGACCCTTGCTACTCAAAGTGTGGTCCCAGAACCAGCACCTGTTAGGAATGCAGCCTCAGGCCCCGCATCCACCTGCTGAGTCAGAATCTGCATTTAAAAAGATCGCCAGGGGATTTGTGTGCACCGGGAAGTTTAGGAAGTGCTAAGTGCCTCTATTTCAGGGGTAGAAGGAGGAGCTCAGGTAATTGCGGTTTTGAGTCATCCAGAAAGAGGTGGGGGTTCCTCTTTCTCCTCCAAGCTTTCTCCTCCATGTTCTGACCCCAGGGGGAGAACTGAAGAGCCCTGGGTACTAGCCTTCTGCTTCCACTTGGGTAAAGAGCCTGAGAAGAAACCCAAGATTTTGAAGATATAAGAGCAATGTTGGAATGA